TTTTTAACCCCAAGAATTTAATAATTATAGATACAGGTATAAATATATTTACGTCTACATCAACAGAAACACTGGTATGTAGCTACTTGGATCTAGTAACTATATCTTTCTTATTATACCTATATTACCCCCTTAAAAGTGTGGTCAAGCTTCACTGCTGTCCTTTTTTCTTGTTTTTTGTTTTTTTAAACTCAGTTGGTCCAGTAACATAGGCCAAATTCTAAAGATGTTTATAAGGCATATGAAATGCTAATATTCATGATTTTTCACTATGAAACACTCATTTTAGCTTTCATGTTCCTAGTGTGTTCAGTGAAGTAGAATAGAAACAAAATTATAACCAATACTTTACTTCAAAAGCCAAATAAGAAAAGGGCGATAAGAAAAGCCACTTCGTGTGGTGGCATTTATGTGTACATTAAAATTGGTTTCTTTAAAATGTGCAATAAGTTCAGCATCTAAGAAGAACGTCAAGTTCTGAAGTTAATTCTTTATTATCCTCCTCTTTCTTAGTAACTGCATTCTGTGGCAAAATCACAATTCCTTAAGATTCCTTTTGTTCAGGCTCAGGCAAACTCCTTTCCTATTTTTTTTCAGTTTAATATTTTTACTTTGTTTTTACATAAATATTTATAGCCTTCAAAAGCAATTTTTGCTAAGTAGTTAAGCTTAGGAACATGTTGTAAGAGGTATCTTAGAATTCTGAAAGTCGATTTTCTAATAAGAATGAAGGTCAGAGAGAATAACTGCTATTGCTACACTTGCTTTTGACCAAGAAGAGACTGAGAGACACTAATAAAATTACAATCAACAACTTATGCCATGGTGAGTATAAAATCAAGGAATGATTGCTAAATTATGAAAACAAAATGACTTAAAAAAAAAAGAGCCTGCTTTTTTCCCCCTAACCAATATAGCTATCTTAAGTATCCTTAGGTTTTATGAATAGCCATTTTCCATGTATTTTTGGCAAAACAATGCTGTATTCATACATACATGTGAAACATTTTTTAAATTGATTAAAACATAAGTAAAATATACCTACACCCAGTATAAGTATAGTATGATTACAGTAGAACAGGTGGGGTTTTTGTTTGTACCCATACTTGATACAATTTTTGTACTCACTTTCTGTTACCAATGTTATACTCAACTGCCTCTTCATTGATATATAATATTTTGTAAATATTGTACAATTTGATCCTTTTTTATGGTTTAAATTAGTATTAATTTATATATATTGATTGGCTGATCACAAAAATAATTTCATCTTTAAACCCTGAAAACTTACATTTTTTGGTTGGTAATTCCCCTATGGGGTTTTAGTCTTATCCACTTGTATGGTAACTTTTGTTTGGTATAAATGGTATTTTATTGGTATGGTTATCTTCTAAGACTGGAAAGGTAGTTACTGTCTTTATTTTTAAATTTTCTTTTTAAGGCACATGTTATGGGTTCTTATTACTCAAGGAATCAAAAACTATTTCATGAGAAAGAGCAGGGCTACTCATGACTGTTTCCTATACACTGAAAGCATATATCTAATCTAATAGTCATAGTCTTCTTATGCTTTTAGTTATATGACTTCCTTTCTGTGAACTGAACACAAAACTCAGGAATTGGTGGCTTAGTTTTTAGATCAGTGCTTATATTAGAGTTAGTATGTGAATCCTTTAAATTACATAATTAACTTTGTATTTAGCCATACATGTAATTGACTTTGAATGTTCTCCAACTGAGATTAATCTTCGTTCACACATGGGTTCATAAAAATTGTGATTTACAGTTCCCAGTTGTCTGAGAGCCTCATGATGGTTTCTATGATTTAAGACCTATGACCAGTTTTTTTTTTTTTTCACTTGAAAGTTTAAATGAGTAATAATTATTGACATGTGCATTTCTGTTTTAGTTGTTAAATGTACTGTGTCTTCAGTTATCCACCATTTAGTGAGATGTAGCTGGCCCAGGAAAAGACAATAAATAGGTCATGTGAAATAAGTAAGTTTCAGCAATAGATATTTTACTTGTATTTCATGTCACTTTTCTGTATTACTTATAAAGGTACAGTGTAATCTTTGTCACCATTCCATTGAAAAGTTGGCCTTGTAAAATACAACCCTCATTTAGTGTTCATGCTTTTGTGCCTTTAAGAAAATACTTTTCCTCATTTTTGTGTTACAGGACTATATGATTCAGAGTATTTATAGGCTTACTTGTCATAAAAGGGTCATTTCTCTGTGTCACTTTATTTCCTTTTATATAGCTATAGTATATTTAAACAATAATGCTATACTTTTATAAATGTTTGTCTATTTACCTATCAAATATATTCTTCATTTTCAGACATCATTGAAAAAGACTTGTCAGATTATTGAGTATTGTAAACAGTGCCTTTTCGATGGAATTCATACTGTTTTAGGGTGTCAACTCGTGCCATATACACACAAAATTCTTTGGAAGGCAGTTTTAACTTTTTGAAGAATATGTTAGTCAAATATTTAAGAAAACAAATGTATAAAATTCCCTTTTTTCCAGTGTTTATTATTTCTAGTGAGCAATGAATATACTTGGGGGGGTTTTTTGTTTGAAGTACAGTGATAATGGCATTATTGATGAGCCATACATGACACTGCAGATTTTTTGAATTATGTTAAATGTACAGAAATAAAATATTAAAATCAGCATTTATACGAAATTTTCCCCATTTGAACCAATGGTAGGGGGGCACTCACACAAATCACTAGGTTTACATTTCAACTTCTCTCATATTTGACTACATGGAAAAAGAGATTCTTTAAAATGTATAACCTGCCATTATTATGTAATTTGGTTTCATTTTGTTTACCTATAGTGAATTTAATATATTTAATTTACTTTTTGTTACTCTTAATATACTACTTGTTTTGTTAGTTTTTAATGAAAGACGGACTGTTAACATCGTATAGGACCAGTGTCTTCTTAATATGATTAACATATTTAGAAGAGCCACAAGAAACCCATGACAAAATGAATGTGAATATACTTTCTAAAATATTTAGAAAATTTTATCTTTCTGCATTTATCATGTAAATTTATTTTAGTATTACAAGATTGAAATTTCAAGAAAAAATGCCACTGATGAGCCACAGAACTTCAGTTGAAAATTTTCACTTTTTAGCATGCTAACTGTACATCTAAGTTAAATATCCTGTTTAATGGCCATTTATAAATACAAACACTACCACTGGTCAGTTTTGTAAAATAGAATAAACGTATGTTATCTGCAGTGTAAGTATAGCACACTGTCAAATTCTTTTCCTTAAGGTGCATAGTAAATGTACAGCTAGTCTTAGGTAACTGTTTTGTAATGTATTACATTTCTAATCTGTTATTCCTAACCTATTATAAATGTTTGCAGAGACAAAAGAATTGAACTTTTCTAATGATCTGTAAAATGATGCTAACTTCTACAAGTAGGCATTCTAAATAAAATTTTTAAAAAGAGCAAACTGATCAAATGTCTTTGAATACAACATATGGTGACTAAATTACTTAGTTCTTTAATTAAAAAAAATTTGTGTTGGGGGAGTAGTTAAGGATGGTAAAGGACTTGCTTGGAAGAGACTTAACAGCTAGAAACCCTAATACATGCTTTATGTGATGCTTTATATTCACTCTTGAATACTCATAATAACTTCGGATAAGTGGAAGTTAACTGGATTTTATAGATGAAGAATCTGAGGCTCAGAGAAATTAAATGATCCAAAAGCTACACAGTGAAGAGTGATAGTGAGCCCAAGTTTGAACCCATGTTTGACTTCAGTGCCCATTCTCTTTCCACTGTACACTTAAATAGAATGTTAAATGTTTGGAATAATCCACTGCTCGAATCTATGTGTATTGAAAATTTTGTGATGGGTAAGGAAAAAAAAGAACCTTGCTATTACACAAGTATACAAAACCCACATGAAAAAGATTTCCCCCCTCTAATCACCTATTAGTCCATACTGAGTCAACATCAGGCATGTTTCAAGAAATCATTCCTCTCTAGTTTTCCTCACTTTTCCTCCATCCTCCTCCCCTCCCATATTTGCTCTCCTCAGAATTCAGCTGCTTCTGGCCAAAAGTCAGTTGGTTCTTATTGAGGACAATGAGAGAGCTTACAGGGTTCTCCTGCCCTATGCAAAAGAATAATGGGTAAGGAAAACAATCCCTCACTGATAAACCTCAATGAAACATTTATAAGGTAATTTTCTTACTTATATTGACCACACTCTGATAGGTGTCCTGTGTTGTGTTGTTAAGATAATCAACTTTTTTCACCTTACAAAATGTTCCTTTCTTGTGGAGATAGTGGGTCCTTACAGTGGTGACACATCACAGTAATTTGTTGGGTATACTGTAAATATTTGTTGAGTGCTTATTTAGCATGTACCAAGCACCATGCAAAAACAAACAAAAAAAGCTTTGTAAACATTCTCACCCTCCTCAAAACCTTGAGATTTGTCTGTTACATATTACCACCATTTTTTTTTAAGATGAGAAAAGTGAAGACAAGTTACATGCTAATGTCACATAGTGAATGTCACAGCAAACCCAGCTCTAAATCTTAGGCCCATACTCTTGACCATTTCATCCTTAAGAGAGTGTGTACGTCTTAATGAAACAGTATGTTCTTTCTCCTTAACAGTTTTTTTCTGCGGATTGTGTCCAATAATTCTGGGCCACTGTGTTTTTAAAGTATATCACCAACGTAGCTAAGTCTTAACATCTATCACCTCTGCTAAAGAAAAAGCAAATTGTGGTGGCTAGGGTTTCATAGTGGATACCTAAGCCCAGGATATGTGGCAAAGCCCCCTGCAGAAAGCAGAAAGCCTGCAGCTTGCGACCGGGGCTAAGCCCTCCCCATCAGTCCTGCATCCTCAAAGAGAACAGCTGACGGAGAGTGGACAGAATATATGAGTCGAATTCAGAGGTTTTGCTACGGAACAATGAACTTTTGACCGGGGTTGGGAACGAACCGAATTCTAGCAGCGGTGCCTAGTCCTTCCACTGTCATGCCGACTTCCTGAGAGAAAGTTTCCTGGGAGACGGAGAGACTTGGTGGCAGCTGAAGTCACTGGAGGAGAATGAATTCACCTAGGGGGATGCGGAAGGGCTTGCGGCTTCCTCTCCAGGGACAGCTCCACGATAATCGCGAGCTCTTTTCTATCCTCGCGGGCTATTGGGCTGCTAGCCCAAATCGGCGGAACGGCGGGGCTTTTCCGTGAGCAGGCGGAAGGGCAAACGCCTCGCCCAACCAACAAGTCGCGCTACCACCAACTTCCTGCCTCCAGCCCGCCCCTTCCGCTTCCGGCTGCGTCCCGCCCCGCTGTCCCGCCCCGGTGCGTCCTGCCCCGGTGCTTCCCGTCCCATTCTCTGCCGAAGGTTCTGGGGTTCTGCAAGCGGCGACCGGAAGCGGCCCGAACCCAAAGGTTATGGCAGCTGCGTGTTCTTTAAAGGCGGCGTTGCAGGTGGCGAAAGTGCTAGAAACCATCATGAGCTGCTGCGTGGGGCCGGAAGGGCGGCAAGTTATGTGTACGAAGCCCACCGGCGAGGTGCTGCTCAGCCGGGATGGAGGCCGCCTCCTGAAGGCGCTACACTTAGAGCATCCTTTAGCCAGGTACCTGCGTCGCACACCCAGCCCGTTAGAGCGTCCCGTAGCCAGGAATTCACATCCTGCACTCCAGCCCATAGATAGGCACCCTAGGCCATCTCCCTGAACTTCCTGTCCCTGAGGCTGTGCTCCTGGAAAAACTGACCTTGGATGAGACGAGTGTATGCTCAGAATTAGAGCGCTGTCCAAGGGACCATTCCCAGACATTAAATCTTTAACTGACAAGAACAGTTTTCACCACTCTCATTCCGGGTCGACCCAACCCTAGAATGTTGAATTAGAGCAAAGTAACTTGAAAAAGGAAAAATCTTAAACTAAGTATACCAAACGGACAGTTTTCGCGTTTTATGCCTATAGCTGTGAAAACATGGTTTCAACTTGATTCAGATGTAGGAAGGCAGCCCTCTGAAAATCTGAATTGCTTTCTCTCTTGTACAGGATGATGGTGGCATGTGTTTCCAGTCATCTCAGAAAAACGGGAGATGGTGCTAAAACATTTATTATCTTTCTTTGCCACTTACTCAGAGGACTTCATGCAATCACAGACAAAGAAAAGGATTTTTTCTTTTCTGAAAATATTCAAACCCATGGAAACCATTGGAAAAATTGTTGTCAGTGGAAATTCATTTCCCAAGCTCTTCTAACATTTCAGACACGAGTATTAGACTATGTTGTGGACCACTACCTGAGTAGACACTTTTTGTCCATCTTTTCTTCATCCACTAAAGAGAGAAGATTGTGTAGGAACTCTTTAGAGATGCTCTTAGAAGCATACTTTGGTGGAAGAGTGGGAAGAAATAATCACAAGTTTATTTCACAATTGACGTGTGACTACTTTTTCAAGGGTATGGCTTGTGAAAGTGCGTTTGAGGAAGTATTTGAGTTAGTGGATGACTGTTTTGTCGAGTTGAAAGTTGGTGTCACTGGCCTCCCTGTTTCAGAGTCCAGGATCGTAGCTGGGCTTGTGCTTCACAGAGACTTTTCTGTGTACTGTCCAGCAGATGGTGATGTAAGAATAGTGATAGTAACAGAAACCCTTCAGCCTCTTTTTTCAACTTCTGGATCAGAGTTTATTCTAAATTCAGAAGCACAGTTTCAGACATCTCAATTTTGGATTACAGAAAGGACAAAAGCAATAATGAAACATTTACAGAGTCAGGATGTAAAATTACTCCTATCCAGTGTGAAACAACCAGACTTAGTAATTTATTATGCAGGACTGAATGGCATATCCGTGGTGGAGTGTTTATCATCTGAAGAAGTTTCTCTTATCCAGAAGATCATTGGTCTTGCTCCCTTTGTACTACCGCAGGCCTCTTCACAACATGAAGTCTCTAGCACTGCTTTGGTGAAATTTTGTAAGCCCCTTATTCTTAGATCCAAAAGGTATGTTCATCTTGGCTTGATTAGCACGTGTTCATTTGTACCACACTGTATAGTTCTTTGTGGACCAGTGCAGGGTCTTGTTGAACAACACAGTGATGCTTTACATGGAGCATTTAAAATGCTTCGGCAGTTATTTAAAGACCTTGATCTAAATTATATGACTCAAGCTAGTGACCAAAATTGTACTTCAGGTCCTCTTATTTATAAGAATAGTGGAGAAAGTAATCAGTTACCAGAAATTGTTAATGGTTCAATACAAAGGCCATATCAGGGCACAGTTGTAAAGAACAAAGATGAACTGGCAAAATCTCAAACATATTTAAAAGTATATTCAAACTTGGTAGTTCCAAACATAGAATTAGAAACACATACCCCATGTTCAACACTAGAAGTGACACCAACAGATGAAACACTGAGATGTTTATCTCCAAACGAAGCCATGATAATTGATGACCATGAACCACTTATTGAAAATAATTCTGCCAACTCAGCAACAAAAAACACTGGAATAGACATTTATTATGAAAATTTGCAGGTCACAAAAATTGCTGGAAAGGGGGGCATGTTACCAGTGAGATGTACGTCACTAGAAATGAGTACTTCCCCGAGTTACTGTTTCTCATCTATACCAGCTGGTTGTGTTTTGCCAGTGGGTGGTAGTTTTGAGATCTTGTTACATTACTATCTTCTTAACTATGCCAAAAACTGCCAGCAATCAGAAGAAGCCATGGTTAGTATGATAATAGCTAATGCACTTTTAGGCATTCCTCAAAGTTTGTATAAGTCTAAGAAAGGAAATTACCGCTTTCCACAAATTTATGTAAGAGCTCTCCGTGCGCTGCAAACCAATCAGCCCATAATAAGCAGTCAGACAGGTTTGGAATCAGTTGCTGGTAAATACCAATTACTAAGTTCAGTTCTTCAGTGTTTGACAAAAATCTTAACCCTTGATTTGGTAATCAGTATTAAAAGACAACCTCGGGAAATTTCTGATCAAGATTCAGAAGAGGAACTATAAAATTGGAAGTTTTTTATTAACTCAAGTTTTAATCCAACTCAAGCCATAAAGCAAAGCAGGATGTGACCGCTGATTCTCAAGTCAGTTCAGTCTAGTTAGGAAAACAGCGTAACGTTGAAAGTCTTTAGAAGTACACCAAGGCCAGTGGACATTCAGACAAAATATTAGAGACTACATTATGGAACAGTTCTGAGGAGGAAGCCTTCTGCATGAGTGAAGCCAAGATCTGAGTAAGTGTCTCTTCCCCCTCAGTGTCCCTACATGTTAGTCTGTGTATTTGGGAAAGGGTGTTTCCTTGTAGGTCCTTTTTACTTTTCTGTGTCTCTTTTCACTCTTCATCTCTTCTCCCTTGCCTTTCTATATTTACTTAATAGAATAATTTAGTCTCAGATTTGGGTGGATTCGTCAAATGCTATCCTATTTTAATCGTTCATGATCTAAAACATTGTTTGGTTCAATTAAAATAATTTATTTTCCCTACTCATAATTTCTAAAGCAATGAGTAAAAGTCTCATTTTTTTCTCAAACAGTATATAAATTAAATTAGTTTTTACTTTTATTTGGCCCCTTGTTTTTTTACACTTTGTGTGGAAAAGCCTAGATGGATTTTTTTTCACCGTTCATACACCATTGAGGATGTTACCAGAAATGTGACTTTGTGCATTGTGAACTTGTTTTCATTTCTTTAGTTGAAAGTTAATTCCAAAAAGGATATGAAGTTCATGCTGTGATTTTCTCTTTTCCTGTAGAGTTTGAAAAAAATAATCCATGTATTTGCTGGTTTTTCTATTTGATGCATAGCCAGTTAATAATAACAAGTAATTTGAGAATTGCAGTCAGCCCTCCGATCTTGTGTTCTGTATCCACAGGTTCAACCAACCGTGGTTTGAAAATATTCAAGGAAAAAAATTCCAAAAAGTTCTAAAATGCAAAACTTTTAACTTGCGAGGTCCAGTGGCAACTATTTACATAGAATTTATATTGTGTTAGCTATCATAAGTAATCTAGAGATGATTTAAAGTACACAAGATGATGTGCGTAGGTTATATGCAAATGCTATGCCATTTTGTTTATAAGGGACTTGAGCATCCACAGAGTTTGATTTTGGCAGGGAGTTCTGGAACTAGTCTGCCTTGGATACTGAGAGATGACTATATTAAAATATGAATTTTTAGTGGTTATATTTTATTTGAAAGGTTTACAAATGCAAATAATAGTGTGCATCTAGCCATGGATATAAGGACAGTGTCTTCTACTTTTAGTAGTTCTCTGTAACACCCAGGTCAGTAATGTGTTCATACCAAGTGTTAAGAATTGCTTGTTGAATAAAACTGTTACCTTTACTCTATTCTGAATATGTGTTTACAGTTTACTAATTTGACAGATTCTTACTGAGTGCTTACTGTGTGCCAACTGCTGGATATAATGTGATAAAACAAATAGATATGGTTCCTGCCTTCATGCAGCTTTCCTCATAGATCAGTGAATAGATGCGTGACACTACTTGGATTGAGATTAAATTTAGGAAAACCAATTTTTAAAATTTAATTACAGTTAAATTTGAAACAGTGATGACTAGAGGTGTTTTTAAAACTAATATCCTATTATGCAGATCTCACAATCTTTATATTAAATATAATTTTATTTTTGTAAGGCTTATGCTATGTGATGATATCATTTCATATCTGTGATTATGGAGAGAATATATTAGTTCTATTTCTTATACTGAATTCATAAATACGTGAACCTACCTGTAATTTTTTCCATTTACTTTTTTAAATTGCCTGTCAGTTTACTTGATAGTTTTGCTTTATTTTGTTGTTGTTGTTTTAAATATTTCTCCATCACTAAGAGCATTCACAGACTTTTCCCAGGCATGCCCAGTGCCTTGCTTTGTTAGGCATTTTATAGCTATAAATAATTAGTAGCCCAGGAGCCTCTTTGTAAGCTGGGAATGGGTCTTTGTGTGTTTGGTGCCTAATGTAATATCGCACACAGTAGTAGCCAATAAATGTCTGTTGAGAAACTCGTTGGTCCTTGGAGATGAGGTCATAATTTTTTTTCTAACAAATTTTCATGGAAAAGGATCTATTTTGTGGGGGAAGAAGCAGAAAATGTAGGCAAAGTCTACACAAAGCAATCTTTTTTTCTTTTAATTAAAAATTCCTCAAAAATGATGATAACACTTTCGTGGGTTATCTTTATCATTTATAAAATAACACCAGTGAGTTTACAATACTGGGTTAGATAACAGAGCACTTTAAAATGATAATTACATTGTACTTAAACCCACTTCCACAAAGGATTTGAGGTGACCTGCAACAAAAACAGACAAAATTACAGTAAAATCTGAATAAAAATGGAAAACTCAAGAACAAAGAAAATGTAAAGATAATTAGAAGTCAAGACCATGTCCTGTTTTTATTGCTGCATATTGAACAACCTCAAAACTCGCTTGATTTAAATCACTGTTTTATTACTTCTCATGGTACTGGGAGTTGCCTGAGTTTAGCTGGACAACTTTCACTGTATTCTGTTGATTGAAGCAGTCACAAAGGTCAGCTGAAGTTCAAGGGGAGGGAACACAGGCCCCACCACTCAATGGGAAATGTCAGTGTCACATTATAAGAAGAGCATGTGAGATGAGATATGCTGAGGCAGCTATCTTTGGAAAACAGAATCTGCTCCACCATGGGAGAGAAAAGAGGACAGATACGTGCTAACTTCCCAGCTGAGTTTTTTATTATTATTTTCTGAAGTTACATGTCAGTCTACCTCTCACAAACACATTTCCCCAATAACTTTAATGAACTCCTTATTTTTTCTCCCTGGGCCAGCACAAGGCATTTTTATTCCCCAAACAATAGGCATTAAATAGTTGAACATCTCTGAACTGCTTTGGCCAGGAAGCTATTTAACCATGTTACACTGGAAGTGTCATGGTATCCATGTTTTAGACTAAAAGGGGTGGGGGGAGGAATGCAATTTGAGGCTGAACTTTTATCAGTAATTACTCATCCCCTCCCAAAAGGAATAGACTATGTCTTTCGCATCATCACAGCACAGCAGAGAAGACAAAAACTACAATTCAAGGGGGGAATACAAGTATGTATACATTTACGTGTGTGTGTGTGTGTGTGTGTGTGTGTGTGTGTGTATGTGTCTAGTGGTTTGTTGCAGCTTTGTACGTAGCAAGAGATCGGTAACAAACTAAACTCTGGATGGATACAGAAACTAAATGGTGTGGGGGCAGTGACTAGGGAGAAAACATGCACAGGGAAGAGGTGTGAGAAGGTCATTTCTCAGTATATACCTTATGCCATTTTGATTTTTCAGCCATTTGAATACGACTTACTCAAAAATGAAATAAAATTTTAAAAAGTATATTTAGAGCAAGCACATAAAGAATGCCCCCCAAATAGCAATAAAGTGATAAGGATCCTGATCTAAGGAAACCCAAGATCAGCATGAAAGAAAAACTATGTGAAAGACACAGCAATGGATCAATAGAACTTTTACAAAAGAAAAGAGATACAATCAAAAGAGGTTATATTCCCTTAGCTGTACCTGGCTAGGGTTTTCTCAGCAATTCTGGAAGCATTCTCCCTTAGGCTACTATGGGCCAAGAAGTGTCTACTAGCACGATGGCATTCATTTCCTCAGGGAATTTCCAGCCCTGGGGCTGGTTCCCTCTCATGCAGACTCATCAACAGATTTTGTGAGCACTTTGAGAATGGCTCTGTCTCAGGGGCTGACTCAAATCAAACTTGTGAGTGTGATCAGTTTATTTACAATGAGAACTGTCCCAGGAACTAGAATTTCCCAAGTCCATCTGACCAGTCTTTATGTGTGGACCTATATGTGGGAAGTCAAATAATAATCGGGTTGTTTGCTCAGTAAGCTTGGACTCAGAACAAGAGAAATCAGATTAACAGCATCAGCCTCCTCCCAACCTGTTATGCTCTAGTTCCCCAGTGCTCTGGCCTGGCCCTATTCACCTCCTCTTGCTTCCTGTGGGATTCTAGCCAGTTCCATCACTTGGGTGCCACTACATGCAGATGATTCCAAATTTTGTATTTCCAGCCATCCTCTTCTGTGAACTCCCAACTCATCAAATTCCCATCACAGTCTGGATGCTCACGCATAACATGTCCAAAACAGGATTGCTATTCCCCATCCCCTGAACCTGGCCCTTCCCCTGCTGTCCCATCTCAATTAATGGCATCATCAGTCTGTCACTTGCTCAGGACAAAAACCTGCACATCTTGGCTCAAGTCTTTCTTTTACAGCCTACAGCCAGTCTATCAGCAAATCTTGCTGGTTCCACACATAAAGTAGATTTCAAATTCACTTTTTTCTCACTCTTGTCGTTCAGCTCAAATCGCTTCATGTTGCACCTGCAACAGCCTGCTATTGGTCTCGTTGGCTTCTATCTCACCTTGTACTTCTCTAGATTGATTTCCCCCCCAACTTCTTTGGGGGGGATGTGTAATTGGGTTTATTTATTAAATTAATTTATTTTTGTAATGGCGGTACTGGGGATTGAATCCAGGACCTCGTGCATGCTAGGAACATACTCTACCATTCAGCTACACCCTCTCCTCCCAAATTTTTATTTAAAAAAAATTTAACTCCACAGGAAAGTTGAAAAAGCACAATGAACACCCACATACCCTACCTCTAGATTCACCAATTACCATTTTACCCTTTGTACGTGTGTGTGCAAGTGCACACACACACATTACTAACCATGTGAAAGCAAGTTATATCCCTGAATATCTCAGTATGTATTTCCCATGAACAAGGACTTCCCCTCCATAACTGAATGATTTTTAAATGCAGATTATGTCATGTCATTCCTCTGCTCAAGGTCCTCCAAAGGTTTTTCCTTCACACAAAATAAAATCCAAATTTATCATAGTCTGTGTGATCTGTCCCCTGCTTATCCCTTATCTCATCTCCTGTCACTCTGCCTCTAGCTCTCTCCCCACCAGTTACTCTATAAGTCAGGGCAGGTTTTGCCATACTGAGGTAACAAATAACTACAGATCTCAAGAGGCTCGACACAAATTGATTTCTTGCTCACAGTCATGTCTGTTGAAGGTTAGCTGGGGACTCATACCACCCTGTATCTTCCCCACTGCTAGATCGAGGATGATGGAGCAGTTACTGTCTTGGACATTACCAATCATCGAGAGAGAGAGAGAGAGGGAGAGAGAGAGAGAGAGAGAGAAGAGGAGAAGAAGAAAAGAGAAGAAAAGAGATCTAGAGAGTCTTGCATTGGCTCTGTTTATAACTGTCACGTGTCACTTCTGCTTGTGACTCACTGTCCAGAAGTAGTCATATGGTCATACCCATCCACAAAGAAACCAGGTAGTGCAGTCCTGCCTTGTGCCTGGAAAGAGAGAGAACCAGAACATTTGGCAAATAGCACTCATGAGTACCCAGGCTGGCCTTCTTTCTGTTCCTTGCACACACAAGTTCATTCCAACCTCTGAGTTTTCCACTTGCTGTTCTGTCTGCTTAAAATTCTTCCCCTCTGATCTTCATATGACTCACTTCCTCACTTGATTGAAGTGTTTCTACTTTAATGTCACCTCCTTATAGAGATGCCTTTCTTGACCTTTCAGTGTAACAATACCATATTCCTTCCCATGACCTCCCTTGTTCACTGCTTTTCTACCTCGTTAAGCTCTTTTTGAAGCACATATCTGATGTTGTTAGTGTGTGTCTTTGTTTTTTGCATTGACTGCCTTCCCAAATAGAATGTAAACCCCATGAGGACTTTGACTTTTTCGCTTCCATACTTCCAGCATGTAGGAGAGTGCCTGGCCAACTAGGCACTCAGTAAAGTTCAGTGAATGAATGAGTGAATGAATGAATAGGAATGGATCAATTGAAAGACTGACCGAGGCTGCCTTCTCTTGAGCAGTGACCAAGTAGATCCAACTAACATTTGCCTCGGTGACTCCACTCTGTTTGGTCTCCAGCACTGCCCAAACTCTGATGGACACAATTTCTTTTTAAAATACTAAAGCACAACAGAGTTCTGACAACCTGGAAGCCATTCTCTTCCCTTCAGGTGACTTAGCATGTCTCTGTTGTAAACAGTCATTTGTTCATTTTAAAGAGTTGCTGTCAGTCAGAAATTTTATTCCCTAGTCTGTGCTGAAAGCCTCCATGTAGCCTTATGTATTGATGACATGTTGTATTATGGCTGAATTACACTTATGCTTAGGCTAACAGTCTGGTAAATATGTATTTTCTTGCAGTCTCTGTCCTTCCCAACTACTCCTTTGGATATTTGTGTTCAGCAAGAAGTAAAATCACCAATGCCAGATCTTATTGTAAA